ACTGTAGAATAAATCTGTACATCCAAAAAGAAGTTATTTCTTGACAATTCAAAAGATAAGTGGATTCCCTCAAACTGCTAGAGGCTTGTGGAAATACCAGCCTACAGAATTGCCTTGTCAATTTTGAAGCTTGTTTCCACAATCTGTAGTGATAAAAGTTACAGGAGTGGAGTGCTGCAGAAAAAATCTGAGTGTCAAAGTACTGCATGACACATGGAGGCAATGTTTATTTAAACTTAAATTGTAGGTCTAGTTATTCAATAAGCTTCTCTGTAACTGGAAACTTAATGAGCTGCCATTCTGCTGGAGCTGGGAGGGTTGATTTGATGGCATGTAAGTATTTACAAACTCTTTTCTGATTTTGAAATGGACTGACAGGTTAGCAAAATGACCCCTGACGTGTGTTAGCGCACAGTTTAAATCTGTCATTAGTTACCCAGGACAGGAAAATGCTAGAAGGTGTGGTCATCTGTACCCCCTACACTTGATAATACTTATTTTTGTTTCTGCAGGTATTTTGTTTATGATCATGTGTTTGCAGAAAAGATTACTTCAATGGATAGTCAGCTGAGTCCTCTAGAAGAAGAAAATGAGAACCTCAAAAAGGCAGTTACAGTTCTGCAAGCCCAACTTAACCTAGAAAAAGAGAAGAGAGTAACAATGGAAGAGGAATATAGTCTTATGGTAAAAGAAAACTGTGACCTCGAACAGAGGCTTGTTGATATAGACTTGTATCGGGCTCGTGCAGAGGAGTTGGAAGTGGAAGTAGCCGAAATGCGACAAATACTTCAGTCTGAAAACACATTCCATAATGCGGAGAAGTTGGTGCCGGAATCCTTTTTCATTTCATTCAAGGAATCTTTAGAAAGGGAGCTTGGTCAGAGCCTGGCCGATGATGGACTCCTGACTGTATCAGAGCTTGAGAAGAAGGCACTGAAACGGAGCAGCAGCGAAACTTTCCTCAGCAGTGCTGCAGGGGGAGACATTCTAAGGGGCCATGAAGAAACGTGTATTAGGAGAGCTGAAGCTGTGAAGCAGCGAGGCATTTCTGTACTTAATGAAGTCGATGCTCAGTATAACGCTCTCAAAGTGAAGTATGAGGAACTTTTGAAGAAGTGTCAAATGGATGAAGAGTCTCTGAAGCACAAGGCTGTACAGACGCTGAAGCAGTATTCCAAAGACCCACATGTGGGGAATACCCAGTGTGATCTTTCAGCTAGCAATCAAGAATGCACAAATGTGGAGCTAAGTGACTCTCCCACAAACGCTCTCACAAACTCTCTTCCCGAATAGAAAGCACTCTTCAAGGAAATTTTTAGCTGTATCAGAAAAACAAAGGAAGAAATAGATGAACACAGGGCTAAGTACAAGTCCCTCTCCTCTCAGCCGTAATGTTGGACACGCTGATGACCCATTTTCTGTTATGACTAATCTTTTAGTCAGGAAGGGGAAAAAACTTTATACAAATGTCAGAAGACCCCTGATACTGATGTATTTCTTGAGCACTCAACGTGAATGTTCTGAGTTGGCTTGTAGACCTGTAGTTAACAAGCTAGTTAGTTAACAGCTAGTCTCCCTGTACCTATGTAGCAATAGATTTAATGTTGTTTAGCACTGTCACATAAACTAGTGGTTGTAAAGCAAACAAACATGGTAGCTTAATACTACACTACTACTTCATACTACACTTAATCTCTGGCCAGAGCAGTAACTGACACTAGTTTCCTTAATCCACTTCAAAAATAACAGAGCTAAGAAGTCTGTACTGTGCTTCTCACAAGGCACCAAAGCTTTCCTTCGGCTTGCAGGTGACGATCTAGCCCTGTAACTAGGTCTGTGTAGAAAATTAACGAAAAAGGCCCTGACCGGTATCATGGGCCGCCTCTCCTCAATGCTGGAGAATGAAGTTAGCAGTCTAGCTGAACTTGCTTTGGCAGGGAGGTGGAGAGCTGGCACAGCAGCCTGCACTGTGCTTAGTTTAAGCCAATACCACATTTTCACATGCAGTAAAGCTCTTCCACAGGTTAGTATAAATGTCTTCCTACTAAGAAAGGATTTGATGTAAAGTTTGTGTGGCTTTCTAGGTATGGTTTCTTACGTAGGGCACTTTGTCTTAAGGCAAGATACTGTGAATTGATTATGGATGTTATTTGGGACCTACTGTTCTTTGGTGGAATGCCTGCAAAGTACATTTTTATGTGTATTTGGTAAGATAGAAAGTTGCAATTTAGCTATTTAACTGTAGTAGTAGTAGTAGCATTGACATAGCGGAATAGCTTTTAATCTTCCGTACCACAGACTTGAATTGCTTGAAGGAGAGGGGCCAGGTAAAACCTTATCACCTTGTTTTGTCTATTGCTTCCAGTGTCCGCTTCTGTGGGCCTGTTCCATGCTGCCTGTGGGGTGGGAGGATAGGCATGCCGCTGCCAGAACGTAGCCTGTGGGAAACAGGGGACCATGCTCTTGTGCTTCCTCTCCTCCTCCACCCCCTAATAACTCATACATATTCGGATTCTGAAAAACAAAGAACATGAAGAAGTATGTTCTTTAAAACTGCTTCAAAGTGTGAAGAAAACAAAGGCTGAGAGATGGGGGGGAAAGGCACAGAGAAAGGTGACATCTTTCTCCTTACACAGGGTCTCGCAGCAAGGTCGTTTGGTCAGCTGTCTGTGGGACTCCACTGGCTGCCAGACACCAAACAGTTGGCACAGAGCGTTGACAACGTCTCAGCTTTAGTTCTGCTGCTGCTGGGGTTCTGTCTGCCTTACGTTGTACCCCGCATAGCTGCGTACAACTGTCCTTCAGTTGCAGTATTAAGACTTCATGTTGTGGGAGTTTCTCTAAAACACGTATTGCATTCCGAAAACTATTTAAAAATGGGAATCTGAATCTTGTGAATATTTTTCTAAGCAAATAAATAATCCAGTCAAGCTACCTGTGTAACTAGTAATTGTACTCAGCTGTGCCAACCAGGAACCAGTAAACTCAGTGCAGATGGCACCTGTGTTACCTAGTCTTGCCAGCTTTCCTACATACCTCAGGTGGCATTCCCATTACATTGCTATTTTCAAAAGGTTACACTAAATGGAAAAGGACAGGCCTGTCTGGGATGGAAATCCGGAGGGAACAAAGTAGTTTCTCCTCATTATTGTGGTGTTTGTCGGTGCTGGTCAAAAAGGGGGGGTGGGGGGAAATAGGCAGAAAAGCTGCTGTTCTGCCATCTGGTTAAGTGTATGGTCACGTTTCCCTAACACTTGGTGCTCTGGCCCAACTCGGGTGCTGGAGAGTAGTCACTGTACGTGAGAAAGGGGTGAGGCTGTTAGTCACAAAGGATTTACTACCTCTGTTCCGCACTGGGGAAGGGGGATCCACACTGCTGGACCAGAAGACATGTAAAAGCAGCTCAGAATTCCTGGTTAAACAGGTGATCGTCAGTGGTTTGTTAGAGTTGGCTAAGTTAGAGCTCTGCCATATATATATATGTGTATATATATGATTTTTATGCTTTTAAAATACCATAAATGTTCTCATATTTCCAAAGATCTCCCTGATTCTTTTGCAACATCACTTCCCCTCAGCTACCTGTGCTGTTGCCAAGCGCTGGCTGGCTGTAACACAACTGCACAGACTGTGCAGCACCAACCTCCAAGGCTCGGTTCTGCTTCTGTAGCTCCTGACTGGGGCTTTCCCAGGGCAGCCTGACAGCCACAGGCAAGGCTACGGCGGGATACCCGGCTGTGTGCAACCCACCACAACAAAGGCTGCACAAGTGGCCTGAACTTCAAACACCTCCCGGTTATACTGGTGTAGTTAATAAACTGCACTACAGTATTAATTAAGGTAGAGTTTAGCAGTTTAAAGATGGATTTTTTTCCACAGAAATGTGAAATGCCATAAGTATGGTAATAATATTCTTAGCCAACCTTATCTGGATTAACTACCTTAATCTGCTTGTTCTGGTCAACAACGCAACTCAGCCTTTTCTGAGCATAAGCAGATGAAATTAATAGAATCTCCTTGAGCTTCTCACGTGATGGAAGCTACAGCAAAGAACACGAACTGTAAAGTAACCATGTTCCACCGCGTGCACAGCAGAACGTTCCTCATCTGACTGCAATTAGGCTGCAATGAGCAACCTGTAAGAATCACCATCACTGTACCTTGTGCAACAGGCCCACAGCGTGACCGCTGCCCCCAACGAACGTGATGTGAGCAGAACGACGTGAAGCAGTTTAAGAGGCAGTTTACTATTTATTTAACCTCTACTAAACACTCCTGACCTGTCCTTCGTCTGTAAGCCTCCAGGCTCTAAAAGGAATGGGTGCCACTTCCATTTCTTCTTGGACAAATAAAGGCAGGGTAGAATTGACCTTCAAGATAAAATTTTATTTAAAAAATTACATAAAATAGAAGTTTTTACATTGTTGCCATGTAGTAACTGTGGCTGGCTGCCTCCCAGAGGGTGCGCTTGGTTACTT